ACATTATTCAAGGAGAACCTAAATCAACAAAAATTGAATCGCATATTAGTAATGTATAAAGTTATTGAAATCTAATAGGTCTAAATCTTTAAATTCGATATAAATTCCATAATTAACTAAATCTTATATAATCGATAAATAAGTTATAAAATGAGTGATTTTAGTAGTTTAGTGGCCCATCAAGGTTCTAAGTGCTCAGACGAAGAATGGACTGAATATTGCTAGATGGGAAGTGTTAGGTCAGATGAAATACCTGCTGAATAGAGAGATCGAATTTTACCTCATCTTATACATTTCAAAGAAAATGATCTTTTACCTGTCAGAGGTAAGCATCTCACCTACGCAAGGAGATTATTTAGATATCCAAATGGGACAACATACGCACCTGAAAACAGGTTTGCTATCTGTCACAAGTGTAATCAACTTGTATATATTGGAAAGAAAGTTGGAGGATATAATCATGGCGGTATTTTGAAACATTGGATTACAAGCTGTTCTGTTTACAATCACGTCAGTTTTGAAGAGGTCAAGAGGCTTAAACAAAAGCCCAAATCTCAACACTCAACTGATGATATATATGTATTACGTGAGTATGAGTTGTGGATGCAAAATGCTATTAGAAGAGTTAAACGTGCAAGAGAAATCGGTAGAAAAATCCAGGCATGTATTACTATACAGAGGAAATGGATTGAGGTTATGTATAAACCCGATGGCATGACGGCCAAGCAGTTAGCTTTACATTTTAAACTCTTATGGAGAATTCGAGAGGAAATGCGTTGTGTTAACAATGTATAATACACATATACATATATTTATTCGGTTTAGCCATACTATTCAATGTAATTTATTTTATTTATTTTTGTCAATATAAATTTCATAAGATTTCATTTTTTATTTTTTGTTTTGCGCTTCTGCCTTAACTCTATCTCCTTTTGTAAATTTAACGGAGTATCAAATCATCCTCTGGTTAATATAAAGGGCACTTATAAGTTCCGGTCACGGTTTTTGTACCACGTATAAAGTTGAAAAATCGATATTATGCCTTATTTCGTTTTCTGAATACAAACAAAACATAAATATTTCCAGTATGTCTACTACCGCTTCCATCACTGAAACTGAAAATGACACGATCACGTTTTTAGAGGAGATTAAAAATTATAATACGAACGATCTTGTCGTTTTTTTACAAAATGCAGACCTGAAACTCGACGATGATGACTTGAATATTATTCGCGATAAAAAAGTCACTGGACGCGTCTTTTTTAAGTTGAACGAAAATAAGTTGGAAGAATGGGGACTGCCAGGTGGTTCAGCCTTGGCCATCACAGACTTGATTAATGAATTCAAAAGCAAAGAGAAAAGTAAGTACTTTCCGAACCTACACCGCTTATCGCACATATGTTGACAGCAACTTATACTATTTATCTGTTATACAGAACCTCTAAATAAACGGATGAAAGTTGAGAATGTCGAGAATGTTGAGGATTTAAAAGTTTCGTATCATCTTTTTTTGACCATATTTCTTGGCATAATACAATATCCTACGCCTGTATGGACCCACCCATTTATATGGACCCCTGCAGCCGATGCTTGGAAAGAGGGCCTCGCACACCTACTAGGACCCATTACAGCTTCTGTAATCCTCTTAGTTAGTCTCGTGTGACATACTCTTATCCAGTATATTGGACTATATGAATTCCTATGTCCGTATGGAACCACCCATTTATATGGACCCCTGCGGCCAATGCTTGGAAAGAGGGCCTCGCACACCTGCTAGGACCCATTACAGCTTCTGTAATCCTCTTAGTTAGTCTCGTGTGACATACTCTGTTCCAGAAATCCATTTTGTCAATGCCCATTGTTGTTTTCTTGTGATTATTTTTACATCACCATATTTTATAGAGACTAAATTAAACTGCTCTGACTTTCTTATAGATGAACATTCTAAACGCGCTTACTTCTTATTTTGATAACACATACGTTGATGACTGGTCACACATTGGTTGCCTCGAGTATTTAGCAAAAGCTTGTTCACATCTAACATCAGAAGATCGTATTGAAATTCTTGACGGTTACAAGGCTAAATTACGTTCAATAAGCTTGAGTCAATCAGTGCTCCAAAAATCAAGGAAGAAAGCCTTTAAGCTTGTTGAAACTGCAGATCGCTCGTTCAAACGTAATGAAATTACTTTATTTTTCGAAAAATTAGACACACAGGTATGTTAATTGGTTGTTGATAATTTGTGTATATGCATGACGACTAATTAATTTATTTGATAGGTTGACACAAACGCCACAGATGATCTCGCGAACGCAAAAGGAAATCTGCTAGAGTCAAAATTGAAGGTCCGTGCATATAGCAATGTTATTGATCTCGAATCTGATGAAGATTCGGTGACAAGCAGGAAAAGGAAACATAGTGAGAAAGAAAATGGTCCAAAAACACCACCACCTAGACCTCTTCCAAACAAAGATGCCCTTCTTATTACTCCGAATAAGCGTCAGATGTCTGAAGAGAAAGTTATTCGGTGAGTTCACGTTCACGGCATGCCTCTGATTTTAGAGCAACTTAATTAATTTGATTATTTTATTATATCCTAGTTATCTTAACACCATGGAACAGTCAGTGAAGTACAACCGCGTTCACGTTCCGACACCACCTATGTGGACTAATATAGAGAATTATGTTGAAAATGCTCTGATGGTGAGTTCTAATGCATTTGTGGAATATCGGAAGGAAATATATTTGACATCCTTTTGCTCATTTTACAGAAGTCAGGAGGAGATTTTAAGAAGGCTATCATGCTAGAAATTGAGGGAGATAATGAGAACAAGCTCCGTCTATATTGCGAAAAAATACTGATCGATTTGTGAGTTTTTACCGCTTATTGTTACTTTTAGATAAATAGACATTTATTCCTACTTCTTGGTTCTAGTTACAACCTGGTAGATATTTTTCCCTCGCTTTCAAGAAAAATCGGGGAGAGAAAATATATTGTGCAGAATCTCTCTTCGCTTTTCAAATTTTATGAAACAACATTTGGAAATATAACCTTCGATTGGATCGAATCTCATTCCCAATCAGCGAAATTGACAAAATCACAAACGTTTTCTGGAATTGTTAAATGGGATGCGAAAGGTAAACAGTAAATATTTGTTAATAATTCTGTTTTATAATATTTACAATTTTCTCTTAATATTAATAGGTGTCCGAGGGTTTGATGATAAAGAAATATTTCATATGGAAGTTGCTGGATCACCATCGGCACCAACAATAGGTCATACAGTCGGGGACACAATGAAATCATTGCATAGTGACATCTTGAATCTATCTGCACTTTTGCTCGAACACTTAGATATTCCTGTAAAGACTGCTACAAACATAAAAGTGTTCAGTTTACAAGCCATCAGTAGGTGTCTTTATTATTTTAAAAAGTGAGGATTTAGTTATTGATTAGTGTTATTCTTGATCATTAGGTTATCGAATTACGCTGTATTCTCTTAGCATGACGGATGATGGTTCCTTTTTGGCATCCGAATTAGCCTCTGCCATAATTCCTTTTTCATTCGAAGGTAGATCAAAATACAAAGCAGTTCTATATCTCATGGTCGTTTTTCATGTAAGTAATTATGCAGATGTTTTTCTTATTATTTTCTGTATCACTTAAAGAAACTTGTTTTTTCAGGATGAATTTATAAAACAACTTTCAATTATGCAAAAACTTGATTTTAACGTTAACCATAATGAAGGAAACGTGGTTCGGAATGTGTTAAAAATTCCTAAATCTTTACGGGATCTTTTAAAGCAAAGGCAGTCTTCAGAATTATAATTAATGATAATCTATTTAGTTTAGCTTTATGTAATTTTTCATATTGCTTATAATTTCTTTTAAGTTTCGTTTACAATGTTAATAAAAAAATCGAAGCTACCATATGATTAGAAACATTCCTTTTAAAGTACTGTATCAAAGAATAATAGATGGCGAATTGCAAAAGTATTTAAAGTTTTAAGTTTACTCAATAAGACCTAATTCTCGAAGATGCTCTGGAATAACTACATATGGGTCTTCATAATACCAGACATACCTTAAGACAATCCAGTTTTCTTCGCACAATTCTTTCTTGAGTTGATCCCGCTCCTGCTGTTTAATGAAATTATTGGGATCACCTTTATGAAAGAATTCGATATATTTTTCATGTTGTTGCCCCTGTACTTCGATAGCTAATCCAAATTCCGGATAGTAAATATCAAGTTCCAATCCGAGAGGGTGATCATATGTTTTTAAAAAATCTGGTCGACGAATATTAGAAGGCAACCCTAAATATTTAGTAACAATTTCACGGCAAAGATTTTCACACTTATTTCGACAAAAAGGGCACCAAGCACCTAAAACTTTTATATTAAAAAGTGGTGCATTCCATAAATGTCCATTAGTACATCTCCATAACAAATCTGAACGGGTATTAATATACTCTGTAGAAAGACATTCTCCATTTCGGTTAAAAGCAATTTGTTTAGCAACTTCAAGAGTATATCGAACGTTACCTGCACAATATGGGCACCATGTACCTTGATTTTTTATTCCACTAAAAGAGGCATACCATTCATGCCCTTTAGCACAACTCCATAGTAAATCAGTTTCGAGATTTTTATATTCGGTTGAAAGGCATTTTCCATTTCTACTATATGCAATTTGTTTAGCAATTTCAAGAGTATGAGAAATTACACCGGCACAATGTGGACACCATCGGCCTCTTTTTATATTACTTAGAGTTGCATTCCATTTATATCCCATAATGCATTGCCATTGCATTGGAACATTGGAATTAATATATTCAGTCGAAAGACATTCTCCATTTCTACTAAATGCAATTTTCTTTGCAATTTCAAGAGTAAGTGGCCTTCTATGTGCACAATCTGGACACCACGCACCTTGGTTTTTTATTCTAGTAAAATTGGCAGTCCATTCATGTCCTTTGGCACAACGCCATAATAAAGGTAATTTATTATTAATATAATTTTTGGAAAGACACTCACCATTATTACTATGTGCTAATTCTTTAGCAACTGAAATATCGAGTCTAGTATCAGAACAAGTAGAACACCAAGTCTTACAATTTTTTATACTGTGAAAGTTAGCAGTCCACTCATGTCCTTTTGCACATTTCCATCTTAATGGAGTATTACAATTAATATAATGATCAGAAAGACATTGTCCATTTCGACTTTCAGCAATTTTATAAGCATCATATATAGAATATTTAATTTGGAACGGCATTAAGAATTAGAATACTTTTAAATAAGAAACTAGATCTTTAAATATTAAATGCCCAGGAACTTGCTATCCATTATGCATGTTTACAAAATATTAGAGCAGAAATGCGTCAAATTAACAATGTATAACTTATCTAAAAACGTATAATATACACATCTATTTATTCGATTTAATCTATTTATTAATGTATAACTCATTCGATGTAATCTATCTATTTATTAAAAATAAAACTATCTGAGGGCTAGTACTTTAGAACTTTATTTTTTGTTATTTCGTGATGATTAATGGCTATTTTTTGTTTGTTATCATTATACTAATGATTATATAACAATCGGGTGTGATCAATATGCGATTAACGGTTGAATTTTAACTAATTTACATTTTTTTCAGATTTCTATAGAATTCGACAGAATTTTTACCGGGTATATACAAATGAAATTCAATCAAGCATATATAGATTTGATAAAACAACTGCCTCCCTCACTAGTAGAAGAGTCGTGGAAGCGGTTAACTATGAGAAAACGCAATCCTTTAACAGAATTGGAAGCATGTGCTATAGATCCATGTATTGAAGATTTTTTACGACATGAAATTATAGTTTATAATAGAAAAAAAGATCGTCAGCGTCGAAGTCCATCACCACTTGAAAATTTATCATATAATAGCAAAGCTAGTGTCAAGATACATACAATCATGAGTAACCAGGAAACTCAAACCCAAAATACTGTCCCAATTTATACATGCGATCATGAGGAGGTGATCGACTGTCGCGTTAAGAAAGAGTTAGATAGTTTATCTCAACAATTGCTTGAATTCAACGAAAAAACTTTTGACCCTTTTATACAAGAAATCACTAAACGGCTTGAGGAGCAGGATAGTGTTAATAATAAATTACGCTCTGAAATCGAGCAACAGAAATTAAAATTGCAAAAAGCGGAAAAATTACTTGCAAGTCTGAAGTCCCAATAATAAATAGTGAGTATATTGATATTGTGCTTTATTCATCTAATGACAGAATTTGATCCCAACCGAGTCTTATTCTGTGTGGATGCTCAGGGGCTACACTTAAATCGAAGACAATAAACTTTTGTTCGCATAAATGCTTATTAAGAATTTTATAATAACTGCGCCAATCATTAACATATAAACGGAGTATTCTGCTTAGCTCGTCTGAAGTACAGGAGCCATTGAAGAGTACAACGTATTTTAAATTTTTTCTTATTAATTTTGGGCAGTCAAAATAGCTTTGTGAGACATATATCGAAGAAACATTAGAATGACGCCCCTCGGTAAAATAAGGTACAATCTTTTCTTGAATTTTCTTTGGTTCGGTACATACATCCTCAAATATAGACACTGTCCCTCTTTTTGGTGAGAATGAATCTAGCTTTGGAATTTTATCTGGCTTTATAGCCCGAAATGTAATATCTTCACGATATGGTTCAGGACTATTTGCGATTATCTGAAATGCTGATTTAAGGAACATATATTTTGGCTCTTTGAGATAATGACCAATAAGCACGACATCATCACACTTAATATATCTAGTACCTCCTTTTTTACCATTAAACATTCTATATAGTTTATTTCCGACCAAAAGGTGAACAACTTCAGTAGATTTTCCTGTATTGGTCCGTTCTGAAAATAAGATTGTAAAGGGCCATTGAGGACATGAGTTCTTGCTGTTATATTTCTCGGGATTCTTGTATTCGTCTATATTGAGTACAAAGGCCTCAATCGGTTCAAGCTTTTCTATTTTCATCTCGATCAAGCTAAGTCACTAATTATTATACCTGAAAAATAATGATCTTTATTGCTATATATACATATTCACTGGATTTTTTATGTGTCTTGACACTATTTCCTTGAAATGACTCTCCGAGTCTAGCTCCGCTATAATGATATACCCGACTCACTATTCGTATCTGAATACCAACCGATGATATCAAGAGTAAGAATTTTACTTTGCAAGGTTATAATTTCATTCATACTAATTTTCTCGCAATCCTCAATATCAAGTTTCTGAAGATTATACAAATTTGCTAATGCAGACATAGATACATCAGTAATGTCGCAATTCTCAAGATAAAGCTGTTCAAGTTTTGGACATGATCGCGCTATTGCACAAATAGAATCATCAGATACAAGATGACACCAATTTAAGTTAAGATATTTAAGATTTGGGTTAGATTGCGCAATTTTTTTAACTGATATATCAGTAATCTCTCCACAGTCATCCAATACATATTTTTGCATATTTGGATATGCTGAAGCAATTGCGTACACTCCTTGATCAGTTATTTTTTCACAATCGATTAAGCGTAGAGTGTGGAGTTTCGGGCATGATTCAGCAATCTGTTTTAATGATGCATCAGTAATATTGGCTCCCCATAAACCAAGATATTCTAAATATGAGCAGTTTTGCCCAATTAGGACTATAGATGTATCGGTAATATGCTCATTATATTTCAATTTTAAGTAACGCAAATTAGTACATAAGTGGGCCACTTTTTTCAATGATATATCAGATAGCTTATAAGATTTAAGTTTTAGGTATTGTAGATTTGGGCACGAATTTGCAATTTTACATAAAGTTGTATCCTTCATATTATATAATTTACTGGCCCGTTTTATACCTTTACTATTACCTGAAACACTGAGGAATTCCAAAGGACAAATTTGCGCAATCTTACTAATGACTCTATCAGATAAACCACGACACCACATTATTTTTAGATGGCGCAAGTTGGGACAAGATTTAGCAATCCCATATAACTCATTATTAGTGACCTTACAACTAGAGAGATGAAGTTGAAATAAATATAAAGCATGAGATGTATAACTCCTATGCATTACCTTTTTGAATTTGTCCCATCGTATACATGATCTTGTTATATCACTATAAAATTCAGCTTTTCTCCATATAATTGGAACAGAGCATAAGTACTACAACCGGTTAACAAATAGGGTCGGATATAATGCTTTGTCTTCGGTAAGATATGAGAAAATTTCAGTTAAAAGTTCAGGCAAGGAAAGTGGATGAAGTTTATTAGATGACATCAGTACTTATCTTATGAGTTTATTCTTTATCACACAAATAACCTTTTTCTATCAATACATATTTAATATAGGGAAGTAAATCACAATCGAATGGCACCTCAATGAGATCTATGCCCTCTCTTTTGCATATTTCCCGCTTTTTTTCATCACGCTTCCTTTGCTTATCTAAATCATCTCGTTTTTTATGGAACATTGCATTCTGATAAAAATGCTGGACCCCATTATATTCCCATGCCAATTTTAATTCTTTGTTGTATCCATCAAGGCTCAATCTATTCAAAAATTTATCTGAGCATGGTGAAAATTTCTTATCTAACAAATCCTCAAAAATATATCTCGCGGATCGTTCCCCTTTAAAATGTTGGCAAATTGGACACCATTCGAATTTTTGCTTCTGGGTTTTATAAGGCGCATACCATTGATGGAGTCCATTTTCGCAAGACCAGAGGTATACATCGAATCCATTTATATGGCCAGTTTTTCCTAGACACTTG